TGACTGTTGAAAACGAATGGGGCGTTTGAAGCTGCTCAGTGACCTTATGTTTCCTTCAGGATTGCGTTTGTGTCCTTGAACCATTCAGTTATTGAACCTCTCAGCAGCATGCTGGGAATGGTGCTGCAGTCCTTGTCTATGTCTTTATGTTGCTCTTTCACTTCATTTTCCCCTGCAAGCTGCTTCCCTTTCCTATCTCCGTATCCTTCATGTTGGGCATTTAATACCTGGCACCAGTGTCTCTTGCTTGCTCTGCTCGGAAGCTGTGAAAGGCGGTCTCCGTCGCTGGCCTCCCCACAGCTGCTGCCTGCCAGATCTGCTTTCCAATTAACAGCCGGTCAGGCAATCCCCAGGACTAGCAGCTCTGCAGTGCTAAATCACATGCACTGATGGAACTTGATTGAAGCTGTTCCTTTTCTCCGTGGGGAATTGCCAATAATACAAACCCAGCAGATACACAAATGAGGCTGGGGAGGGGAGAGAGTTTGCGGCGTCGCCCAGGTGCCGCAGAATTCACAGGAGAAACCAGTCGCCTCTCTGGGGATGGAACAGACTGTTGGTGCCTTGGAGGTGACATCCTGCTGCCGACGGCCCAGCGTAGCTCCTTTCACTGACACTCCTTGTGTTTGCTGTTTACCAGGTTCTCATTGCTTCCCATTTGCCATCCTACGAGCTGCGTCACAACCAGGTGGAGTCCATCTTCCTGTCTGCCATTGACATGTATGGACACCAGTTCTGCATTGAGAACCTGCAGGTATCTACCAGGCTTCTCTCCTTGTTTCCCTGCTTTCTTCTCACTGATGTTAGTGTTTCTGTATTAAATCTCACCTGTAGTCCCAAGGTCCTTGGGGCTTTAGATTTTATTGTTCTGGTTTCAAGATCTGCCCCCTGATTTTTGTTTTCATTCCTACACTGATCTCAGAATGACCTCATTGCAGTCTGCAGCTTCCTCAAGAGGTTCAGGAGGACTTTAGGAAAAGGTTCTTCACTGAGATCAGTCACTGGAACAGGCTCCCCAGGGAAGTGGGGCACCATGGCACCAAGCCTGTCAGGGTTCAAGGAGTGCCTGGATGGCACTCTTAGTCATATGGTTTAGTTTTAGATAGTCCTGTGAGGAACAGGGAGTTGGGCTTCAGTGATCCTTATGGGTCACTTCCAACTTGAGATATTCTATAATTCTGTGATTTAATATAAAAAGGTCATAATCCTTGATGAACAACAGGAAAAGCGTGGAAATCAGAACTGGTCAGGCTTGATTTGGGGTTTTTGCTTTTTTGCCTGACCCTGTTTGCAAAGCAGACAGTTCTCTTTTAAAACTCTGCTTAATGTGATCTCTTCTAGAAACTCATTTTGTCTGAGACATCCATCTTTGATGTGCTACCCAACTTTTTCTACCACAGTAACCAGGTGGTAAGAATGGCAGCTTTGGAGGTAAGTTTATTCCCATTGAAAAAATAAATATTTTTACTTTTTCTGTGGTTTTTGTTTTGGGGTTTTTTTTTGTTTTTGAACACTGTTACCCTGCAAGATTACGAGAGCTGTAGGTTGTGTGGAATCTGGCATACTTTGAGTCTTGGTATTAATATTCAGAATTGACTGAAATTTCAGATTCAAGTTATCTTCTTTGCTTGAAGAAGACTTAGGAGGTGGAAGGGATTGAAAGTGAAGCATCAGAGAATGGGGTCAGCCTACTCTGTGTGCCTTGTGCTGATGGTTGTATCCTGCCAGCCTGGCCTTCCTCAAAGAATAACTTTAAATTCTGGTTGAATTAAGAGCTCTATCTAGATACTCATTTGGAGGTATCTGTGTGGTTTTTAATATTTTTTAAGTCTCTGGTGTATTATTTGTCATCTTTCTCTCTTTCTGCTTCCTCAGCACAGTTAAGCTGATCGAGTTTCTTTCTAACCAGGTGTACGTTCGAAGGGCGTATATTGCCTATGAGTTAAACAGTGTCCAGCATCGCCAGCTGAAGGACAACACCTGTGTGGTGGAGTTCCAGTTCATGCTCCCTACCTCCCATCCAAACAGGTCAGATCACGTGTTCAGGTGCCTTTGGAATCGGAGGTTTATCAGGGGCTACATCCTACCTTGGTGAAGAAAACTTGCAGTAGAATTGGTGGAGAAAGGGAGAGTCCCAGTGCCTCAAATAAGCACAGATTATTTAAGATAAAGCACTACAATTCCCAGTTCCTTCTCCTAAATTATTTAAAACCTCAGGAGCTGTGGTTTCTGCAGTTTGGATTCATTTCAATATGATACAGTTTTCATATATTTCCTGATTTTTAAGTTCAGTTTATACAGTAACTTTCCTCTAGAACTTCAGTTCCAGCTGGATCCTGAACTTCAAAAGATACAATTCCAAACAGAAGAATCAGTTACTCGGGATTTTCATACAGAACAAACGGGGTCTGTCCCCTTCCTGCAGCACTCCCCTGCCAGCCCTTTGAAAGCTCTACTTTCAAACCTGGCTTTACTGCTCTGGATAAGGTGAAATCTTTTCTAGCATGTGGGGTTTTTTTGACTGAGAAGACCAAGTTGCATGTATGAATGTATTTTATCTTGAAATGCCAGAGCTGACATACTCTGGTTTCCAGTCAATATTTTTCACAATCTATTTCTCATGACTGCAGCCAAAAGCATCAACCACACCCTGCCCCATCTTGCAGAAGGGTCACATCTCCTAGTGTGTGCGTAAGATAATGTTAAAAAAACCCAAAACAATCCAATCAAACTTATCAGAACTTGTTCAGCATCTGTCAGGTTAGTCAGTTCCCTTGTTTTTTTCATTTGCAGCAGGAACTCAGGAGGGGATTTTAGGTGATGCTTTATTTTTGTCGCAGGCAGCGCGCAGCGTGCTGGAGCCCAGAGCCGCAGTGAATCTCTGTGGCCGCCGGGTGCCACTGTTGGTCTGTGCTGCTCTGGCAGTTTGGTACCAGTGCTATTTTTCTCCTTTGTTTCCAAACATCTTTTTTTTTTTTTTTTTTTTTTTCTGATTTTATTTTTGGTGGGGCTGGGCAACTGGGTCCAGTCTCGCTTCGTTGAGAATCCATCAGTACATTTTATGAAATGGTTTTCAGAATCTGGTTTGCTAGAAATGAATGACTGTCCTCAACAAGCAGCACAAAACACTCATGATACAAATGGGACATGCATTTGGCCTCATCTGTTTCCTACATTTCTAGAATATTTGTAAATAATTGCATACTATTTTTAGTCCCCCTTTATAATACTCTCCCCTCCACACCCCATTCTTTCTCCATTTCTTTTCTTTGCTGGTCTCAGTTACCTCTGTTGCTTGGGGGTTGTTTGGCCTGCCTGTGCTGACTACTGCTCTGTTACTGTGTGCAGGCTTAATTGGACAAGGTCAGCTGGAAGAGGAGAACTGTTACCTGCTTGGGGAACAGCTTCTTTGTCCTGAAATCTCTCCCCTTTATGCTGAATTCGCTGGGGCGATGTTCTGAAGCTCAGTTCTGCTTCTCAACCATCGGCACTGCTGATGGTTGACTGAAAATGCATCACAGTCCTTGTGCAGAGGCAAGCAGGCTTGGGAACAAATTCAGTGCTTGCATAGGCAAGTTCAGTTCCTTGGAGTTGCACCTCGGTCTGTTAGTGATGAATTTGGCTCCTCTTGCTTAATGCAGCTTCTTGCAGTGTGTACTTATTTGTGTGGCTGGGTGCTGAAGCACAGCCGGTACCAGGATACCGAGGGTCTTAAATTAGCACTGAGTGTGTAGATTTAAGGTAGCTGTAGAGGCAGACCTTATGGGAAGCCCAGGACACAGCAATCTCAAAACTCTGACGTTGTCTTGCTTAAGTCTTCTTTGTTGTTTCTGACCATGTTCTACGTCCATCGTGTGTTTTTCTGCATCTTCTGTGGCATGAGCTTTTAGACTGAAGAGCTAAAAATGCATTCCGAGGACAAACCCCAAAACCAAAGTATCCCAGGCAACCTTGAGGCTCTGCAGGGTTGGGCACTGGTGAACCAGGAGTAGATACTAAAGGGCCCTGAAGAGAACATTCTCTTTTGGAGCTGGTGTTAGTTGTATGATGCCACACATTTTTCAGCACTTTATCAGATCTTTTTAAGCCCTGGTCCCTTTTGTGGCTGATTTCTGTGAATATTTAAGGGCCTGAATTTTACTGGAGTAAATATTCCTGTAGGGAATGTTGCAAACTGAGAATAGTTGCTAGATTTAAATTCTTTATTATTGGTATTCAGCCCTGCTATGCCTTTGCTTAATTGTAACGGAAACAATCACAGTCACTACTTCTGGTCTGCCTAATCACAGCTAGGTACTCACACTTGGTATTTTTGGCTGCTGAATGATTGCCATCAGCTGCCCACGGGAAGGCTTTACATGGAAGCAGAGAGGAGAGAAAAACTGTTAAATCTGCTAACAAAATCATAGAAATGCAACCTGCTCCTGGTGGGTTTTGTGGGCAGAAACTGTTTTGGGAGTTATTTGTTTAAATTAATAGAAAACATCCTGTTGGAAGAATCCCCACTGATGCTGATTGCAAGGGTAAGACATAGGGATAAAGTCTGCTTGTAATGGAAAGCAGAGAGGGGCTTATAGATCAGACCCAGCATTCCTTATTGCCTGGTGCAAGGCAGATGAGGAGAACAGCAGAACCATCTGGTGCCTTTTGCAGTACCTGGAGTTTCCAAACCCTCTCCAAGTAGAGGGCGTTGCAGCAATCCGATGTGGAGGAAGTGATCCAAGGGTATCTGCGGGATGCTGATCGCTCCGTGCTGCAGCAGGGCTCTGCAAACCAACGCTGCTGTGCCCAGCCCCTTGCCTTTGGATAACCTGCCTCTTTGAGTCCTGGGGAGAAAAGATGTGAGAAAGAAATGAGCCCTGTCCTGAGCTGTTCTTTGCTTCCCTCTTGTTCAGACTGCCCTGCTGAGATGGGAAGCTGGTGGAATATTGACTGGTGTTTAGAGAGTTCAGCTTCCTTTGTGAGAGTGGCAGGCTAGGTGACAGACACTGAAAGGCCTTTCTTAGGTGTTCAGCACATGAAACAGTGCTTGCCTAATCTTAGCTAAAATCTTCTGTTCAAAGAAACATTGTGTGTCTACTATAGGGAGAGGGAATTATAGTGCTTTTTCAACAGGAGAAGGGTTTTTTTTTTTTCTAATAATCCCTCTCTCCTGCTTTCGAACAGCCTTTCTTATGTCTGAAGCTGTAAGGTTTAAATTAAACTGGGACATTGTCTGCTGTAGCCAGCTTTTGGAGCCTGCTGCGGCCCCGTGCTGCTGCACTGCTCCTCCTAAAGCATCCCCTTTTCTCCAGCTCACTGCATTCCTCTAGCCAGGTTGTTCAGCTGCTCTCTTAGTCTTTCCTTCCTCAGTAGCAGATGTGCTGGAGGATCAGAAGGGAAGAACTCAGAGGTAAATGTGTCCCCACAAAACAGATCCCTCTGTTTTACGTGGAGATAAATGTGTTCCCTCTGTCAGATGCCAAGACAATTGCTGACAAGGGTGACTTAGAGACACTGGCTCTATCTTTATCTTGGAGTTCAGCAATGATACCACAGGGCTCTGCCTTCTGAATATGCTGAGCTCCAAAGGACACTGAGGAATAACCCAGTCTGTGTGCTCACTCCGATGCCTCAGCCATGCCTTCCCAATCCATCAGTGCACTGAGCCCATGCCTTCCTTGTGTCCCACGTGCCACCCCTAACTGCCACACTGGGCCTTGAGATGTCCTGGGGAGTCTTGAGTCAGGATGTACCACGGGAGGTGGAAGTGAAGGAAGGTTTTAACACTGCAGATTAAGATTTTGTTTTGATAACTGTCTTAGTGAGCTTTGAAGCAAGTTTTACTTTTGAAACTTGATAAACAAGACGTCTGATACCAGCTGACCCTAGTTGCATTTGGAGTTGGGAATGCACACAACTTGGCGAACGCCTTACTGAGACTTGTCTAGATTGAATTCATTCTTGGGACTGCATCCTGCTGTCCATGATGCTTCCAAGGGTGGAATTCAAGTCTAGTCATTAATTGCTTTGTATTTCCAAGGGTATTAATATAAATGTCTCGACTATCTTGTGCTTGGTTTTGCCCCGTATCTCCTCTTCCTGTGTTTGTGGATGTTGTTGACACCCTACTTGGACTTTGATGTTGCTGATTTCAAGGCTTAAGAGTGGTGCATGATCTCTCCTTTGCTGTCTCTTGATGTTTTATCATCTATGGAGTATTTTTGTTGTTCTTTTTTTTGTCAGCCTCTTCTTTAGCTTACAGGTAGAAACCATTTTGAAGGCTAAAAGACAAATTAAATATTGCTGTTTCTAAACAATGCTTTTTACAGAGGAATAAGAAACCAAAACTCACTTACACTTACAGCAGTGTTTATAGGTTCCTTCCTATTATCATTTTACAATGAATTTCTGACACAATGGAAGCGTTTTCTGTGGGCTAAAATAGTTAAATGGCTAAAGCAGCCTCTTGCATCAGTCGTTGGATTGCTGGTATTGAATCAGCGGTGCTGCTCTGGACTCCAACCGTACGAGCCCGGAGCCCCGAGTGTATAACTCGTGGTGTATCATTAGGTAGCCTGAGGTCCCCTCCTTGTTGCGGGAGACTGGCTGATACCAGGAGGGAGGAGGGGGAAATTATTCCAGGACACCTGTAAATCCCTGCAGTTTCGTGCTGAGGGTTTGATGTTAATTAGACAGCAGGCAGCAGTAATGTGTTGCAGTTCCCTTGGCTTGCCTGTTTCAGAAAGGGCAAAATCTTCCAACAGAGCAAAGAAGGGGCTGTTGAAGGGGCAGCAAACTGAATGGAACGACGATAATTTTATGCAAATTGGACTTCAGTAGCAGATTCAGCTTGGCTGAATCACAGAGGGAGCAGAAGAATAAGGAAAGAAAGAGGGAGAGGAAAAACCCAATCAAAATGTATGGTTTGAGGCATGTTCCACAGCCTTCTGTTTAGATTCTTCTACAGAAATGAAGAAACATAAGAGGAATGCCACTGGTCACAGCCAGTGGAATTGCTCTTTCTCCTGTGGTACTGCTGTTAATAA